GCTATTATTATTATACTCTACGCCAATGTTACCAATCCGTTTGTCTCGGAGGTAAATATGATTTCAGAAGTTGAGTTTACTACCAATTCTACTTCGAAAAGTTAGTAGATCTACCACCTATTTTTTTTTTAAGTTTTCTAGAGACCTCACAATAATAATGTGATTGACTCCTAATAAATGTTTATCAAAGTTGTGGTTATTATAGCATCTTTCATATACTTTGACAGTTTGTGTTTGTTGTGAAGTTACGATTTATTTATTTTAATTGAAAATATTAAATTATAATTATATGTAAAAAAATTTGAAGACTAGTTCGTCCCAATTCGATTTGATGGTGACATTTATGGAGCAGTAATTTGAATTTAATTTATTTAGTGTTTAGGGAACATATTAATATGTTGTTGTATATTTTGTAACTAAGTTTATTGGTTTTAAGCATGGAGATCTCAACAAACCGTCCAATAATGCAAGAGGTAGGATGGCTTGTATAAAAAACTGGGAGGAATTAGCTTAATTTTTGAATAGTGATGGTAGTGGTGATACAAAAAGTACTAAAAAATGGAAGAAGGTACATAAAAAAAAGCTCTTACAAAAATTTACTTCGCAAATATCCGCGTTATAAAATAAAATGATGTGTCTTACCTAGTATGAAGAAGCACCTCCCGCCCTCCCTCAATTGCGTGCACTATCCCCGTCACGTTATAACGCGGATATTTGCGAAGTAAATTTTTGTAAGAGCTTTTATATAATGGATTTCCGCAAAGTAACGCCTGATACTATTAATTATAGGAAGAAGGTACGTCTAAATGATAATTTGTTTTTATCTATTTTGGTTTAAACTGGGTTGTGGTTCTCTAATTCTATGAAACATTTGCTTCGCTGCTTGCTTTAAGGTTTGGAGTGATTATAAAAATAATATTTAAAAAAGGCTGCTCGTCTACATAAAGCAGCTAGAGGTACTGGTGATGGGCCTGCTACACATGTTAAATTGACAGATTTGGAACAAAGAGTCCTAAATCTGATTGGTGTACAAGTAGCTACGGGGTACGACTTTCCATTTACTCCCATCGAGTTGGGGGTTGATACGTATTTTTACAGAAAAGTTACACTATTATAAGCACACACACAAAGTTACAATATGCGGAAGCGCGTAATTTTTGAGAAAAAAGTTAATGAAAATCAATTATTCTTACATTGTTTATGTCTAATCCTACAATAAAACCGACGCCATTTTTTTATTGTCATTGTCAGTAGGGATGTCGATTCTTTCCGAAAAATATCGATTTTTTAAATAGATTCGAATTGTAAGCTGATGTATCGATTCCCAAAAAATCGATTTCTAAAATATCTATATTTTTTTCATGTTTGCATTTATAATGTAAATATAAATCCATTTTATGAGAAAAAAGTCCCCTTCATCATAAAATATAGGGGGACTGATTCAGAAGGATTTCTGTATCTATTTTGAAACTGCTACGTCTCCGGCGCTGCGGGAAGAGCAGCCTCTACGCCTTAGCGTAACAATTCTACGATTTGTTACAGCAGGCGGAGGCTGCTCCCCCTACGCGCCTCCGGCTCTATAAAACCACTCTAGGGGTAGCACAGACTCGTACCAGGTGGAGTCGGGGTCAATCAATTCGGTTCTTTGACATAAGTTGAACCTAACCTATTTTATTTGTTATCTGCCCTAATTGGTATTGTTGAAATAAAACAAATTTCAATAAGAGATCATTTATTATGGTATCTTTCTTGTTTTTCATAAAATGGAATTATATTTACATTATAAATGCAAACATAAAAAAAATAGATATTTTAGAAATCGATTTTTTTATGAATCGATACATCAGCTTACGATTTGAATCGATTTAAAAATCGACCTTTTTCGGAAAGAATCGACATCCCTACTGACGACAATGACATTACAAAATGGCGTCTATTTTATGCTCCGCTAGGAGTAAAGTATTCTGTGATTTTATGGTAGAATTAGATATAAACAATGCAAGAATAATTGATTTTCAATAACTTTTTTGGTACGACTTTCCATTGACGTCAGTGGAGTTTGGTGTTGATACGTATTTTTACAGAAAGATTACACTATTATAAGCACACACACAAAGTCTCAATATACGGAAACGCGTAATTTTTGAGAAAAGAATAATTGAAAATCAATTATTCTTGCAATGTTTATGTCTAATCTGCTAATAAACTGGCGCCATTTTGTAATGTCATTGTCGACGTCAATAGGGATGTAGATTCTTTCCGAAAAAGATCGATATTTTAAATAGATTCGAATTGTAAGCTGATGTATCGATTCCCAAAAACTCGATTTCTAAAATATCGATATTTTTTTCATGTTTGCATTTATAATGTAAATATAAATCCATTTTATGAGAAAAAATCCCCTTCATCATAAAAAAAAATAAGGCGACTGATTCATAAGGATTTCTGTATCTATTTTGAGACTGCTACGTCTCCGGCGCTGCGGGAAGAGCAACCTCTACGCCTTAGCGTAACAAATCGCAGGCATCCCTCCTCGCCTCCGCAGCTTCGGCTTGTTGGTCGCCTTCGGCGACCAGCCTCAGCCGCTCCGGCTCGTCCGATGCCTACGATTAGTTACAGCAGGCGGAGGCTGCCTCCCCCTACGCGCCTCCGGCTCTATAAAACCACTCTAGGGGTAGGACAGACTCGTACCAGGTGGAGTCGGGGTCAATCAATTCGGTTCTTTGACATAAGTTGAACCTAACCTATTTTATTTGTTATCTGCCCCAATAGGTACTGTTAAATAAAACAAATTTCAATAAGAGATCATTTATCATGGTATCTTTCTTGTTTTTCATAAAATGGGTTTATATTTACATTATAAATAGAAACATTAAAAAAATATAGATATTTTAGAAATCGATTTTTTGTGAACCGATACATCAGCTTGCGATTTGAATCGATTTAAAAATCGACCTTTTCCGGAAAGAATCGACATCCCTATTGACGTCGACAATGACATTACAAAATGGCGCCAGTTTATTAGCAGATTAGACATAAACATTGCAAGAATAATTGATTTTCAATTATTCTTTTCTCAAAAATTGCGCGTTTCCGTATATTGAGACTTTGTGTGTGTGCTTATAATAGTGTAATCTTTCTGTAAAAATACGTATCAACACCAAACTCCGCTGACGTCAATGGAAAGCTAAGCCACTTTTTTCTCAAAAATTACGCGCTTCTGCATATTGTAACTTTGTGTGTGTGCTTATAATAGTGTAACTTTTCTGTAAAAATACGTATCAACCGCCAACTCGATGGGAGTAAATGGAAAGCTAAGCCCAAGGAATACTACCACAACCACATCAATCAGTAGAATGTAAGTAGCATATTATTAACAAATTATTAACATTACATATTATATTATATTAACAATGTTTTTTTTTATTTTAGGTACTTCACAACCTGCTCAGGAAAATATTGCCCTATAACTGCCACCAACACTGCCAAGGCTTATATCTTCACCATCTCTTGCCTTTGCAGAGGAAGTTCAAAGTAATATATAACTTACTTATTAAACAGTATAATATCTTCAGGCTAGTACTGAGTTTGTTCCGGGAATCAAACCCAAAAATTCTTGCTTGGCAGCAGCGCTTGGAACCACTAAACCAAGTATTGTGTGTGTGTAAGTATTCTTTCTCCGAATAAATTAAAAGTAATAAAATATACATGAGCCACTCAATGTACACTCAAGTAGTTAAATATGAATAAATCTTACTTATAGATAAAAATTACATTAATTTTATAAATTTACAAGCCAAATTGTCTGTCTTTTTGGTTCTTGTACACAACTACTAGGTATATTGATTTTGTTGAAAGTTTCATTTATATTTTTCATATTTAGGTTTCTCAATCTTGGAACGACCCAGGGCCATCAACACAACCTCATGTTGCCCCAGCAAATACTGTGACATCTCCGCTTATTTCATTTGTGGAGGTACGAATGGAAAGTAAGATAGAACTTTAATTATTCATGAAGGTGATAATTTTAAATAAATTTGAAATTATTACAGATGCTGCCTGCTTTGTCTGGGCAAACTACACCTTGCCGTGCAAGACCAATTCGTACTCGAGGATCACCTCGAAGACGAGTGAGGCCAGCAAACAGAGCAGGCAGCACAACAGTTTCTCCAAGCCGAAGAACACTGGAGAAACTTTTTTTTTATAGGATAGAGTGACAAACGAGCACACAGTCCACCTGATGGTAAGTGGTTGCAGTGGCCCATAGACATCTACATCTATCCTCGCTTGCGAATCAAAATGCAGATGCGTTGTCACCCGTGAGGACTAAGATGGAATGCCTCTTTTCCAGTAAAAAGGGACTCCGGTTCTCTACACTCACCATACGAAACACAGCAGTGTTAGGCTGCTATTTTACGCTGGTATTCTGTGAGAGCGTGGTCCTTCCCCGTTCGAGCCGACCCATTCGTGCTACAACTATACTACTAATATAGCTACAGCATGGCTCTACAAAATAATTTAGATTACTTTTCTGTTCTGTTTCAATGTTCTTGTAATTGTTAAATTGTTGTAATAAGTTGTAATTGTAATTATTTAATTAAATTTGTGATAAAATTTAAGGCTGGTTATAAATAAAAGAAAGATTTAAGCTTATTCAAATTTATTTATTTAATCCCTATAGTAACCTTCTTGCTAATTGATCTCTTAATATTCTACCTCTAATTAAATCAGAGGTAGCTTCTCTTTCTGTGTAACTTATTTGATCAGATTCCACCATTCTCCTTTCAAATTGCAGACCTAAAAATAAATCATAATTAATACTAATATTAATTATGATTTATTTAATTAGCTTAGTTTACTATTTATAAGTTAGCTTAATATATTATAGTGATTAAATTTAAAATTAAGATACCTACCTATATTTTCCTCTGTATCCTCAACACCAAAATTAATAATTATATTATGTAACACAGAGCATGCTAAAATAATGTGTGCACATTTTACGGGCTTGTAGTGCAAACCTTGTGCAGACATCGCCATCGATTTTTCAGCCTTGAAAATGTGTTTTCAATAACAACTCGAGCTCTCATGTGCTTTTCATTATAATTATTGGACTCAGCATCTAAAAATGGTGTCATAAGCCATCGGCGTTGGGGATATCCAGAATCTCCTAGAGTTAAAGTATACATGTTATTGTCAATAATATAGATAGAAATTATTTAGTAATGTTTTACTTAAAAATACTTCATATAACTCAAAACATCCCAATAAGTTATACTGTGGATATATTACCTAAAAGCCAGACAATTTCTCCATTTTGGTGCAAAGATTGCATGTATGTGTTTAAATTACTGTTTTCCCATATAAAGGAATCATGATTTGCAGCTCCAAACTTGGGATTCACATTTAAAATTCTATATTTATCATCACATACCTGAAAAGAAGACATTTTGTTTATTTTTTACCCCTTTTTAACCAAGGAATAATAAAAAATAAAAAAACTTAAGATTTACCATTTGAACATTAAGTGAACGGTAGTGCTTACAACTATAATACAAATGTTCCTCTTCTTTTGGTAGGACAACTATTTTATAATGACTTCCATTAATACAACCAACCACTCCAGGGATTTCATATTTTCTGTAAAAACTGAATTTTAAAATAAATATTAACCGAATCTAATGAATAATTTGCATAAGGTTGTTTAAAAATAAGCAGATATTTATTATCGTTGACTAACTGCTTGTCTAGCAGCTGGAGTATCAGGGAACCAAATATATTTATTTATTATGTTTTTGTGTGTCAGCGCCTGGGTAACTTCTTCTATGTACACACTGCACATTTTTTGAGACGTGTCCTTTGCAACCCCAACTGGCCTTTGGTAGGATCCAGTTGCAAAAAAGAATAGAGCAGTAAGCACCTGCAATTAAAAAGAGAACAAACATATTTAAACTTGCACTTGTTTTAAACTTGAGTTGCAAAAATGTGAATACTTTAATGATCGATACATACTTTATGTTCCAAGGAAACGCGTTGAGAGGACCTAAGATTTGTCAAACTCCTTAGCTCTTTACACAAAAACTTGAAGACTTTTTTAGAAATGCGATATCTGTCTTTAAATTGCTTCCCCGTGAGGTGCACGAGCTCTTCTTTCAACATTGGCGTTATAATTGCGGTCATCTTGTGCCTTAGCGGCTGCAAACATTCTCCATGCGAAAAAAAACGTCCTGCCATAATTAAATATTGTTCACACAAAACGAAATAAAAACCTTTAACAATCGTTCTCACTATGCTTTCTCACTGTCAAAAATCAAAATTTAGGTGAAAACTTTTTCGATATCGACGGCGTAGTTTGTTTATGTTACGTATTGAACGATCAAAATCGGCGCTCGCACTCGCAAAATACTTGAAACAACCAATCACGTGCGTTTACGATCTCACTGTCGAATGCGAGTGAATGCTGAATGCTCGATGGTCGATATCGACGACGTAATAAACTCGCACTCATGAATTGTGATTCCGATTATTGCCACTAGTTGGCGCTGATTTTATTCCATACAAATTCTAGTTAACTTTCTCGGTATCGAACGCGTAAAAAATTTCGCACTAGGCACACTGGTGTGACAACGTATCTGAATTTTGATTCGTAATCAAGAATAGATGTATAATATATTTATGTCTACGGGAGCATTTTATGACGGCTTTCACTTTTTGTGCGCTTTCATGGTGGCGCCACTTTCGAATAAAGTAAAATATTTGTCAGTTTTCAAAGCAGTGATGTTAATTTGTTAGGCAAATCTAAGGGATAATATTTCTTTCTATAATACATTTTATATTATCAAATTAAATTAAAAGTAAAAAATTAAAAAAAGGAGTTAAAATGTGTAAAAACCCCTGAGAATAAAACCAAAAAAAACCTCTGAGACATTTGTTACGGACGGCGAAGGAGGCCGCCGCCCCGTCGCCCCTTCATACCCCGTTGCGCCCCGCGCACCCCGCATACCGGCAGCAGATCACGCGATGTCGCCGACCAATCAGCGCGCGGCATCGCCTCACGACGCTACTCACATACTGAGACGCTCTCTTGCGGGATATAAGAGTTTTGGTCTATGAGGTGTTCATTTCCGAAGCGGCACTCGAAGACAACAAGAGAAGAAACCTCAAGAGAAGAAGCATCAAGAGATACGCCATTGAAGACTGTGTATATAGTTAATTAGTGAAAGCCGCATTTGTGAATAGTTTAATACAGTATAGTTCTACAGTACCATCTTTTCTTTGAGCAATCCCCTAGCGTAGTAATTAGTCAGTCATACAGTCCACTTGCAATAGTAAATTCATACAGTCCACTACAATCCCTAATAACATTGTTTTATGTACCTATTTATTAATATAATACTATAAACACTGATAAATATTTATTTAAAACTTCTTAATAAAATGACATTGTGTAACTATAAGTATAATAATTTCACCTATATCGCCACTAGCGAAATCTTGCGAGGTGAAGAATATTAACCCACATAGGCATCAGGTTGAATGTGTTCTCACTTGCCACCATTATTCTATAAAAAAAACATGATGTATTGTAGTCCACACGCGGTACAAGTGAAAACTAAATTTCGTGAGAATGAGACGAATGCAGATTTTTTTATAGGATAAGGGTAACAAACGAGCACACAGTCCACCTGATGGTAAGTGGTTGCTGTGGTCCATAGATATCCACATCTATCCTCGATTACGAATCAAAATGCAGATGCGTTGTCAACCGTAAGGACTAAGATGGAATGCCTCGTTAGTCGTTACCACTAAAAAGTACTTAATTAAAATTTGAATCATCATCATCATCATCATTACAGCCCGTCACAAGTCCACTGCTGAACATAGGCCTCCCCCAAAGAATACCACAAAGCACGGTCCTGAGCCACCTGCATCCATCGACTTCCTGCATATCTTACCAGGTCGTTACTCCATCTAGTGGGGGGACGCCCTACACTTCGCCTGCCGGTATGAGGCTGCCACTCGAGAACCTTTCTTCCCCAACGGTTGTCGATTCTTCGAGCTATATGGCCGGCCCACTGCCACTTCAGCTTACTAATCCGTTGGGCTATGTCGGTCACTCTGGTTCTACTGCGGATATCCTCATTTCTGAGTTTATCACGCAGAGAAACTCCGAGCATAGCCCTCTCCATAGCTCGCTGAGCGACCTTGAGCTTCCTCATCCGGCCAGCAGTGAAGGACCACGTCTCAGTTCCGTATGTCATCACTGGCAACACGCACTGGGTGTACAGTTTCGTTTTCAAGTTTTGAGGTATACCTGACGAGAAGATGTGTCGTAATTTCCCGAACGCTGCCCAACCGAGTTGAATCCGTCGATTGACCTCTCGGTCGAAGTTGGACTTACCTAGTCGGACTATTTGTCCCAGGTAAACATACTCGTCAACAACTTCGAGCTTAGTGTTCCCAACAACTACCGGCATAGGTGTGACATGGACATTAAACATGATCTTTGTTTTGTCCATGCTCATCTTAAGACCTAACCGTTGGGAAACACTATTGAGGTCATTGAGCATAGTGCTTAGGTCCTCCAGCGATTCTGCCATAAGGACAATATCGTCGGCAAATCGAAGGTGAGTGATGTACTCGCCATTGATGTTGATACCGTATCCTTTCCAGTCCAGAAGTTTGAAAACATCTTCCAATGCAGCGGTAAAGAGTTTCGGGGATATGACGTCACCCTGTCTTACACCTCTCTGCAATTGGATAGGTTTCGTACTCTGGTTCTGTACTCGGATAGCCATCGTAGCCCTACTGTACAAGCACTTCAACACTTCGATATACCGACAGTTAACTTGGCATCGCTAAAGGGACTGCAGCACCGCCCAAATTTCGACGGAATCAAAGGCTTTCTCATTGTCTACATACGCCAGACATAGTGGCAAATTGTACTCCTCGGACTTCTGTACAATTTGCCGAAGGGTATGTATGTGGTCTATGGTGCTAAAGCCTTTTCGGAAACCGGCTTGTTCGGGAGGCTGGAAGTCGTCAAGTCTGCGCGCGAGACGATTCGTAATGACTCTCGAAAACAGCACGTAGACGCGGCTCAGAAGGGAAATCGGTCTGTAGTTCTTCAAGAGAGCGTTGTCGCCTTTCTTGAAGAACAAGACCACCGCACTTCTGTTCCACGCCTCCGGTGTAATGCCACCATAGAGGACGGAATTAAAGAGCTTCTGAAGGACTTCAAGTACCGGTTTTCCACCCGCTTTCAGAAGCTCCGCTGTAATTCCATCCTCGCCTGGGGCCCTACCGTTTTTAAGGTGCTGGAGAGCCATTCTAATCTCGCTCAGACTGACGTCCGGAATATCTTCGGAATAGTGTCGGATGAGACTCGCTCTTGGATCGTTACTCACAGTTGCGTGCGGCTCCAACGATGACGTGTACAGCTGCCTATAGAACCTCTCAATCTCACTCAAAATCTCAGGTGACCCGGAAACGATGCTGCCACATTCGGTCTTCAGCTTTGACAGTTGGCTCTTTCTGGCAGACAGATCTATGGCAAAGACTTTGGAGCCTTGGTTCCGCTCAATCGCTTCTTCAATACGAGCTGTATTGAAGTTGCGTAAGTCCCGCCGCATGCACTTGGAGATCTGTCTGTTCTGTTGCCTGTATGCTGTCAAATCTGTTGAAGAATGTAGCTTCATCTCCCGTCTAACAGCCATGAGATTAAGAGTGTGATCGGAGAGTTTTTGTGTTCTTCTGCGGCGGGTCTTGCAGAACTTAGCTCCGACCGCATGGACAGTTTCCACGAGCTTGTCATTCAAATCGTCCACTTCATTGCAGTCTTCTAGGCACTGAAAACGGTTTTGTAACTGAAAGGTTTCGGGACTTTGGATTAGAGCACGAGGGGGACGGAGCGTTGACTTCAATAGACGAGACCTCTCCAACTTAACGTTTAGGTTCAGTGTGCCTCTAACCATTCGGTGATCGCTGCTGGTTTTCACCCTCGCGATCACTGAGACATCACTGAACAGTTGTCGTCTGGTCGTCATAATGAAGTCAATCTCATTTTTTGTCGAACCGTCGGGGCTCGACCAGGTCCACTTCCTGTGGGGCCGCTTCTGGAAGAAAGAGTTCATCATAAAGAGTCCCTCTTTCTCCATGAAGTCGGCCAGCTGCTTGCCCCTTGGGTTCCGTTGCCCTATTCCAAATTTTCCCACTTTCAGCTCACCGTTCTCTCTTGTGCCTAGTTTTGCATTGAAGTCTCCCATTAACACAGTATATTGGGTTTTGGAGGAATGTATGGCTCTAGAGATATCCTCATACATTTCCTCCACCACCTGATCGGGGTGTGCCGAGGTTGGTGCGTAAACCTGTATGACCTTCAGCGAATACCGTTTGGTGATTCTGAGTATAAGGTACGCAACCCTCGTCGACACACTCTCAATCTTTACAACGTTGTTAACGAGAGACTTGTGGACGATAAATCCGACACCTCCTTGGGACAGATGGTCGCCCTCCC